ACTGCCAAATAAGGGGGTACTGTAGAAATCTATCTCCTCCAAGGATTTTCATGCTACAACATAAAGACACATATCATTTGATGCATAAATATCATATCTATGAATGCTAGTAGGTATTTTTCTAAATTCTCATTTTTGTAGATGTGCAGGCATTTTTCATAAATTGTTTTGAAATTTTTTTCATTTTACCCCACCACCAACCTCCCCTTTTTGAAAAATAAAATTCAAACTTTAACAAAATTGGACAAACGCTTACTACTGCTTGTAGATATTTTCCCTGCAAATCAATTGATATATGTCTCATTGTTGTAGCTTCAAAACTCTGGGAGAAGATAGGTTTGCCGTTAGAGCAGTTGGAGGTTTTCAGGAGAGTCAATAAACTACCCACTGGCAACGGGCGCGCTATGTAAGGGCATGTAATGTAGCTTAGATACCAAAAGTAAGCTTCATCTTACTTCTAAGTCACTCAGCGGTGCATAGAACGACTGCATGAATACTTTCCATTCATGATAGTTGGGAGGTAACTGAGCTGCAGGTCGACTGAGAGCACATTAATAGTGCCAGCTTGAATTAATGGCCATTGGGTTTTGTGAAGGGGCTCCCCCCCCCTCCACTCTTTTGGGATCTGTCGTGAATGCATAATTTAATGTACAGAGATGGTTCCAGTACTGTTCAATGCGGCAGAATGTAAGCTTTAAGATGAGCATAAAACCAGAAAAGCCAAAACTTTTGAATTTTACAGCAGATGCTCCCCTTAAACTGTCTGTTACCAAATATTGAACCTGACCATCTACTCTTTTATTCTGATGATGCTATTGATCATTCTTTGTCCAATGACATTCAGGCATTTAGTGGGATTGCTGGCCCCAATACTTGACATGTACAAATGACCACTGGAGGCTCGGCTTTGACAATTAAGAAGGGACAGTTTATTGGCACTGTTTTGACCGTAGTTCAGTTACCTAGCAATCAAGCAACCCAGCCAGATGGAATTGATATTGAACAACTTAAAACTGAAGTAAGCATTGCTGTACTCAATTCAGATCAGCAAAGGCAAGTTTTTTCTATGCTGTGTAATTTTGGAAGTGTTTTCAGTGGTGGTGATACTGACATTGGTCTGGCATGTGTCGGAGCATAATAATAAATTAACAAATGACACCCTTATCTTCCAATGGCCACACAGATATCCTTCACAAATTGTTGATGAGATCAAGCGCCAGAGTCATGAACTGAATAGCCTTGATATTATTGAACCGAGTAATTGCCCATGGTCATCCCCAGTAGTTCTGATTAGGATGAAAGATGGATCCACAAGAATGTGCATTGACTACCGTCAGCTTAACCGTGTAACTGTACCAGATAAATTTCTGGTTCCCAATCATGCTGATTTAATTTTTGGACTGCAAGGTACTAAGTTCTTTACCCATTTAGATTTGGTGCGCAGGTATTACCAGATTCCTATGTATGATCAAAGCCACCATTTACAGCCTTTTCAACTCCCAGGAACCACTAGCAATTTAAGATTTTAAGTTGTGGCCTGCTTAATGCCCCAGCTGCATTTCAGAGTGAAATCCAAGCGGTTCTCACTTCATTTTCATCTAATAAGGTCATTGCTCATATAGATGACTTTTTGATAATGAGCACCATCTTTGATGAACACTTTCAATGGAAATATTTACCTAATTGCTCATAAATTAAGAAACCCCATCATGCCTAACAGATGTTAAGAGATCTTGCCGACTTAACTGGACTGCCGAAATGCTGGCATCATTTGACAGGTTCAAGGACAAGATGAGACATGATCTGGAGCTGGCTTACCCAGATTATAGTGGTGGTGCTGCAAAACTTGAATTATATGTCAATGCCTCTGTGTATGATGCTGGAGCCTATTTGGCCCAAATGCACCAAGTTATTGGATTTGCTTCCATGACGTTCACAACTTCACACCTACTCAATTTAATTATTCCATACTCGAAAAAGAATTGACTGCATTAAGATGGGGTGTTGAGACATTTAGGCCATTTTTGTATGGAGTATCATTTTTGCGGTTCACTGACCATCAACCTCTTGTGCCTTACATAATAAGAAAATTGTATGTCCCAGTTAGCTCGTACAGTAGAGGAATTGTCTGACTTTATTTTTGATATTGTTTATATGCTGGGACATTTTAACTCTGCAGCTGATGCGCTCTCACAATTGGGGTCTCCATCTCCTCCTGCGGTGTTGGATGGTTTGTCTGTACGACAAGGTCTGATGTTGAATAGGCCGCCTGTACCTGGAGGAGGGGATTCCCTGTTTCTGAGCCTGCTCAGGGTATTACTAGCTATGAGTTGTAAAGCAAAGTTACCCAGTGGGGGATGTCAAGTTGAGGGCCCTGCTGTTTGATGATCTATTAAATAATAGTGCAAAGTATAAGATCAATCTTGCACAAAACTCATGGAAGCAGCTGAGGCTAATTAATGCACCATGCTGGGCAGCTCCCATCCCTTGATGTATTAATGGCAGTTAGCAGAATTTTTGGAGAGGTGATCCAAGCTCACCACACTCAGCTTCATGGCTATAAGATGCCCCCTAAATATATATCTGATCATCCTGTGTACAAAGAAAAAGTGCATGGAGATCAGGTTGATGGAGGGGTGGCAATTGGCAATGTTGTACAAGGTGCAGTGGAGAGTGAGGCTCATGACCCTAGAGTACCAATAGCCTCCATGTGTGATGATTTATCATCTGTTTCAAGTTGTAGGTCGAGTGTCACAAGTGTGCCTAGTTGCAATGGCAACTATCCTCATGTATCTGATGCTGAGGCTGACTTGAGCTCATCATTCTCTGGTTTTAGTGGTCATTCAGATAGTGAAAATGCTGCTGATATGCAGTCAGAGTGGAGGGTTTTGTCAGTTATGTCTAGTGGGCCTTTAAACCCTTTATTATTCAAGTCATTACAACATGGGCTATGTTGAGGTTGCCATTTTGAGACAATCAATGAGACCCAGGTTCCCAGGCTTTCCACAGCTATGGCTTCATATACCCATATTGAGTTGAGTCCCATTGTTCAGCAAGTAGAGGCCATAATGTCGAGTGATGCTAGGCAATCATTTGATTTGTACAAATTGACCTTGGATTGGCATGATGATGACAATTTTCGTCATTCATTCTTGAATTCAGATCTGATGGTTGATGCACCTAAGGATGACCCAGAAGGAGTATTGGCATCTGACCTTGAATTTTTGGCAATGGTTGGTGAGTGGGAAGATGAACCATCAACCAACATTGCTGCCAAACAAGCAATTAATGTGACTCCATTGCTGGAATCTGGTGCAATTGTTCAGGGCAGTTACTTTCAAAACCTTGCTAAGTGCTCATACTGGCCTAAATCCAGCGTAAGTCTGCTAAGCTTGCATAACGCCCAAAGATGGTACCTTCAAAGCATTTCTGCACCAAGTTATGTCTGCGAAGATCAATGTAACTTAACGATTGCTAGAAGCACTCATAAGTTGGGTTAGCACAACCTCCTAGGCTGTAAATTCATGGTAAAGCTATTGAAAACATGTGGTTTATATACTCTACAGTGAATGGTGAATAGTTTTTAATTATTTCTTTCAAAGTAAACTGTTGTTGTGCTATCAATGATTCAATTTGATTTGTGTTGACTTTTTAGTGTTGACTCTTGACAGTTATTTGTGTTCTATAATGTGTGAAAAATTGGAAGCAAATGTTTGATGTTTGAAAGTGTCAAGTCATATCATGATAGTATGATGAAGTAGTAATGTTTTTAATTTACTAAAAAAATGAAAAAAATGAAATATACTGAAGAAGAACTAAAATTTACCTCTCAAGTGTCAACTATTGTTCTAGAATTCAAAAAAAATTCTCTCTGAAAATCTTCAATTTGTGGGTCTACTGTCTAGATCTCTTCAGCTCGCGAATTTACATTTTAATGAAAACTGATTTGAATTTCTTGTATCAGTTAAAAATAGATAAATGTGTTGGCATATTTATCTTCACCCATACAGTAATAAATATCTACCATGCAATATCTTGGCGCTTTCACGCAAAGGCTGCAATAACCTTGCCAGGCTATGGGGACTTTATTGTACCTTTTGTCAATATTGTTGGCAACTAAATAGTAGGTACTATACTTTGCCACTCCTGACAAGTCTCAAGAACTTCAATTTTATTATATGATCAAGCAATAAAAAAAACATAGTGAATTTTTTTCTCAAAAGTCTAAACATAAGTCAACCCTGCACAAGTGTTACGTTTAATTTTTAGCTTCTTGGTGTTTCGAAATTTAATATATTCTAGCAGGTTTTCCAAAAGTGGCGACTAATGTGGCATTGACGTTAAATCTTGATTCATGAATCCAGTTTGCTCCGTGAATGAAATTCCAATGATCAAGTCAAAATCAAATAGGTTGTAGGGCTAAGTGTTCATTAAACCAAATTAATAGATAGTCTGAGTAGATTTTCCTGAAAATTGCCGGTAAAATATGGTATTAAATAATTTCTACTCACATCAAAAAGGCAGGAAAGTGAGTCACAGATCAGTTGATATCAGCTGGTGAATTTAATTACCAATTTACTGAGGATTGCTTGCTTCAATGCTTGCAATTTCATACATTATTGTGGCCCTTGCCTAATTTGGCCATTTTCACACATAATTTTAATATATACAAATAAAAGTAACTTGTTTGTGTCCTGGCAAAGCTGCCCAATATTTCAAATTTGTATCCATGTATGCCTTTTTTGCATATAACCTTTGGCTGATACTAAGTAACTAAATTGAAAATTACTTTCTTGAGGCAAAGGCGGATCTCACTCGTAATGTCCTGGTTATTAAATAAAAATTTGAGTTGGGAATTATCAGTCTGCATTCTGTTATAGTATGCCAATATTTCAGTATAGAGTATGGACTTTCTTTCAAAACTATTGTTATGCCAAAACCATTGTTATGAAGGTGTGCACACTATTTATATTTAATCTGATGCCTTCCTTTCCTACAGATCAATATTATAAATCATGGAACTTCTTTTTGCATATGAGTATCAGCGAGCATTAAGGAGAGAGAGGGTGTACAAAGACCCACAAGATTTCTTACATATTGCTGATGAGGAACTAATTAGAAACTACCGGTTCCCTCGTAATGAAATCATCAATTTCATTCTGGAATTTGAGCCTCAGCTTAAGAGGAACACCCTAAGATCCCATGCTATACCTGTAAGCACCCAAATTTTGGTTGCACTGCGATTTTATGCCAGCGGCTCATTCCAAAATGTAGTTGCAAACAGCAGTGGCCTCTCACAACAAAGTGTGAGCAAAATCATTACATCTGTTTCAAATATTCTAGCTGAAAAAGCCAGAAATGAAATTAAAATGCCTGCTGGCATACTCCAACTCCAGCAAACCATGAGAGATTTCTATACAGTGGCAGGTTTTCCACGAGTCATTGGAGTCATAGATGCTTCACACATACCAATCAAGGCACCTAGTGAGGATGAGCTAGTTTTTGTCAACAGAAAAAAATACCATTCCCTGAATATCCAAGTGGTCTGTGATGCTAAGAGAGTGATAATCAACTATGTTGTCAACTACCCAGGCTCCACTCGTGATGCTTTCATCTGGAACAACAGTACTCTCCGCACCAGATTTCAACATGGAGAATTCAGAGATGGAATACTCTTGGGTGAGTTAAATTCACCTTCAGTAATAAATTGAATGAATAATCTCTAAATTCAATACTTGCTAGTTCAGGGAAGTGTTGCTCTAATTTAATAACTTTGAATGTTGACAATTTATGATAAGATTCTATGCATAATACTGAACACTGCTGTGCTGCAGGGGCATCTATAAAAAAAAGTTTAATGGCTGTTTGGGTGTGTGACTACTTGTAGATTACTACAAATTTTTCTGACCTTCTTGAGAGAGCTGTATTGACTATAAAAATTAAAACTTATCAAAACCTCCAATGTCTTCTGACCCGCTATAAACCATTATGAACCTAAATAAGGCTAATTTGGTTTAGTTTGCACTTGCAAAAGCACACTAATCTGATCATGATCCTATGCTGTATACTCTGGAACAACAAAATTCTAATATATGAGGATTATTACACGTGTACATATTTTACCTGTCAATGAAAAACTAAATGGCATCTTGGATTATTATATATAAATATATATAGTATGATTTGTATCATATCCTTCCAGGAGATGGAGGTTATCCCCTTGAACCATTCCTGATGACACCTATTGCCAACCCTGGACTGCCGGCAGAGGAAGAGTTCAATAGATGCCACACCAGAACTAGAGCTATTATTGGACAAACTTTAGGAGTCCTGAAGTCAAGATTCAGGTGCTTACACAAATCGGGTAAGAATTCACGAATTTAAACATATAATAACAATATAACATTTTTAATAACAATTATTCATTGTCTAGTAAAATTCAAGGTTTGCCTTTGCTAAAAATGTAAACTTTTGAATGAAATAAGTTCATTTATTGGTACTAAGTATAGATTAGTCATTCAATACTCATGCCTGAATGTAAAATATAAATTAGTACATACTACACATCTTGAGCACCTAACAAGAAAGTATTCTTATCCCCCCAGGTGGAAACCTCCAGTATGAGCCACTTAAATGTGCAAAGATAATTGCAGCCTGTCTGCTACTCCACAACCAATGCATTAAAAAAAATATCCCAAATCCTGCTGATGAGCAAGCTGAGGACCACGTGGAGCTTGAGGACCAAGATCATGATGAAATGCACCAAACACAATATCAGAGTGAAGCGGCAAGAGGTCTTGGAGGGCAAGTTCGCAGGGCATTGGTTGAAAATTTCTTTTAATCATTGAATTATCAGGGAAACTGTAGGTTATGACTTCACAACAAATTGCTTTTTCTGCTTTTTTCTGTTCTGACTGGGCATATATATTTTGTTAATTACTTTCATGATTGACCTCATTTCTTCATTACCTTTGTGCTGAATTATTGTTACTTTAATTGTTAACATGAAAAAGCATGTAATGAATATTATTATGATGCAAGGAAATTCATTATAAATGCATCAAATCAGTATTTATTAAAATACTGAATCCTATTTACTTCATACAATATTTGAAAAAAAACTTTCATAATTGAAAAATCACATATCACAGAACATGCCCAAATTCACCGATTCGACACTTCAGCGAACTCGCCTGCGAGCTCGAACTTCATTTTCAACTCTGGCACTCATAACTCCTTCAATTATGAACGGATTATATTCAAATTTGAAATATAAGTAGATAATATCAGTACGCTGCGGAGAGTATTTTTTTCAAATTTTTTCATCGATAATTTTTTTTAATATGGAAAACCTAACTTAATTTTCAACTCTGGCACGCATAACTCCTTCAATTATGAACGGATTTTATTCTAATTTGAAATATAAGTAGATAATATCAGTACGCTGCGGAGTAATACTGAAACTTGACCTGACTAGGACCTAACCTGCGAGGTGAACGTGAAGTTAGGTTTTCGGTGATAATAAAAAAGTAATGAATGTAAAAATTTGAAAAAAATACCCTCCGCAGCGTACTCATATTATCTACTTATATTTTAAATTTTAAGAAAATCCGTCCATTATTGACAGAGTTATGCGTGCCAGAGTTGAAAATTAAGTTAGGTTTTCCGTATTAAAAAAAATTATCAATGAAAAAATTTGAAAAAAATACTCTCCGCAGCGTACTGATATTATCTACTTATATTTCAAATTTGAATATAATCTGTTCATAATTGAAGGAGTTATGAGTGCCAGAGTTGAAAATGAAGTTCGAGCTCGCAGGCGAGTTCGCACGCGAGTTCGCTGAAGTGTCGAATCGGTCCCAAATTCTATAAATTTGAGTCTTTGAGCTATGCCATATTCCATAACAGATGTACTAGTAAATAAAAATAAAATGGTTATGAAAATCATTGAATCCCTTATCTCGATCCTTTCATTTACTGTCACAGCATTAGCAATGATGAACAAGTTTGAAGTTATATTTATAATATATTGAATAAAGGCTTGTCATGTTCTACTAATATTAATTAATAAGCTCCTGCTCTTCATGTAGTCTCTAGCTTCTTCTGTGAAGAAGCTAGAGAAAAAAAAAGTTCACTTGTCCATTTGCATCACTTTTCTTCAAAAGCCTATTTTTCCAAAACATAGAGTGATGATACGTGGCATAGATGATTTAATGGTACAACAGACAGATGATTGACGGGCAGCATAAAGCAGTCTTAAACACAAACTGGGTGCCTTGAGGAGCATTTCTGTAGAAGTGACTGTGTGTAGTGTAGACTATGAGTGAACATGTATAGTGATATGATGCAAAGAAGATTAGAAATATCACGAGTCATTAGTGATTGGTCCTCAATGGCACAGAACGATACAATTCTAGTCTGATCCTATACATACAAATACTCTAGCAGTCTAGCAGTATCAATAAGGCAGTTGATATTTCCTGTCTTTACAAAATGTTAATAGCACACGCTCACAAGATGCTCACCATATCATGGTTAACGCTAGACTCCTGTCCCCAACTGCATTGCCGCCAACTTGCGTCACGTTACAGCCAGCCCACGCCACGCAGGCTACCGGCGTTCCCCGAACCAATCAGAGCGCAGCACGTACAAAGCCATCTCACGACCAAACAAGCGTGACGTCACAACCATTCGGCAACACCAGCGCAGACCAATCAGATATTAACACAAAATATTTGAAAAAGCATGAGTGAAAATAACAAAACTCATAGTTCTTCTGGCACACCAATGAATGTATTGCTGGTCACAATTGAAATAAGAGCTAGGCTTGAATAAAATCTTCTAGAATATGTTGAAAATACCATAGTTTGTGCTAACTTGATCACAAACTAAGAAAACATTTGGCAAATGCAAGGTCATTGAACAATGAACAGAATAAGTTGTACATCCATCCATTTGTGGATTTTTGAGAGGCTCAGTAACTACAAAAGCACTGGCAATCTTCTCAACAGCTGCTGCTGCAACAAAAAGTGATGCTGCCATGCTTCTTGCACGAATTTGGATCTCCGTTTGCACACTCAACACTTCATGAGCCGTGGTATGATTTGCAGCATCATTGCTGCGCTGTTTTCTTTTACGAGTTTCACATGACTCAGGTCAGTGGCCCTTCTAGTACCAGGTTTGGTAGGGGTGGAAGTCACTGGTTCCTCAGGGTCGAATGTCATAGGCTTTTTATGGCTCATAGCTTGAAGCACTGTTGGTGTGACCCTCCTCTCAAATGAAAATGGATCACAAGAATTGAGGACCTTGGTGGTGACTGGTGAGAGACTCTGTCTCTCGCACCCAGCTCCCGGGTTTGAATCCCACTGAGGAAAAGTTCTACCAGGAAGCACAGCTCATGGTCAACTCAGCCATTCATCCAAGTCCAACTCTGGTTGATAAATGAGTACCGGGCTTGTCCAGGGTGTTGCATAATGCAATAAAATGGCTCTGAGGGGTCAGCGAGCCAGTGATGGTTGTAGAACTACCGTGGTACCGAGTGCCTGGAAAATCTGACCTATCACCCCCCCTCTTTAGTCGCCACTACCAGGATGGGCAATTACAACAACAACCTTGGTATTAGTTGTGACATCAATGGCTGAGAGACCTGCATCAGTGATGCCAAAATCTTCAGCCTGTCACAGCCCCAGTAAATCTTAGACTATTGCTTACAAACGCTCAATTTCAAGGCATGTGTCATTGGCCTCTTTGGGCTCTTCTTCTCCAACTTGACAAGTAAAACAACAGATATTAAAATATTTTGAAAATTTCAATCTCTTCTCATGCAAGCACTTTTTTTCTATATTATGATAATATGATTCATGTACACATCTATCGAATTCAAAAGGATACTCAATGAGCTCTAAGTTGATGTCAGAGTGGTGAATGCTATTCCCTGTCGGAGTGTGGAATAGCCTTCTTGAGCTGGTAGTTTCTGCCCCTAGTGTCAACTCATTCAAGTCTTGCCTCGACGCTCACTGGTCTAACCTAGACACTAAGTAAGACTCGGACCCCTATCACTAGACCCACCATGCGCGTTGCTAAATACAACATATCACCATGATTGGTGAACAGGCCTTTAATAAGGCCTTCAACACCTCAACCCTTCAAAGTCAAAGTTATTCTTGCGTAATGGCAGTGGGAATGGGTTAATATGACTGAAGCTTCAGGAAAGGGCCATTTGATTTCATCTCTGAAATGAAAAAGAGAGTAGGTAATTGGCAATGAGTACCGAACCAAAACAGACTTCTAGAGACGGTGCTTGCTAGACTTCATATGGGTCAGGCCATTGTGAAAGTACACTTGGCTAAGTTTAGGATGATTGATTACCCCATGTGTATCTGTAGCCAGCATGGATAAATAATCACTTGCTGCTTCACTGCCATCTGCATGCTTAGGCCCAAACTGATCTATCAAACATATTGACCTAGCTGACTGTTTATCAATCTGTAAAGAATTTGCTTCTGGAGGAGGCCCTTTCCCACCTGAGACACAGCTGAAGATAATCAAAGCCCCTACTGATTCCCTTATAGAAATTGATACCCTGAAGCAAATAAAGTTTTAGTGAATAGAATCTAGTATGTTTGCCTATGTTAATGTTGCTAATTTGTATTGTTGGAATTCTGCATATAATCTCTAACAATTGTGAGTATATTAACCACAAAAAACACTCGGTGGAACTAACTTCATCCTAAATATTCAACAAATGCACCCTTTGCTGCATCTATGACTTCAAGTAGAGGTGCTCGGTGCAGATCAATTAAGTACTGTAATGACTGCTTATGTGAAGAGTGCCACTATTTGTTTACACCAGATAAACATATTCCCTTGCCTCCTTCTAAGCCCTGCCCATAAGAGATTCCTCTTGTTTGCACATTTGCATCAAATGCTGTTTGTACTAGCCATATTTGACTGCAAGAGGCTCTAGGTTGCACCACCCAGGCTGGACCCTCACATAGGGTCTGATTTCTCATATGTGAGAAATCTAGAGTCTTTTAGGTTTCTAGAGTCTGGTTTCTCACAAGGTTGGGCATCCTTTAGCTACTGACTGGGGTAATTTAGCTTAGCTCTAATAATGTTATTCTCTGTTTAGTTTGAGCAGATCACTAGCATTTCTTAACATTAATAAATGTCATTTTATTTTTAAATATATTGGCCATTGATCTGCCGTCAGCAAAATATTTCCCTGAACAGGATCTTGATGCACAAGTCCCCAATTTTGTGAGCTTTATTTTATCAATTGATACAATGTTTACAATGCTTTAAGCAAATGACATTCTCCATGTGCACACAACTGCTGGAACTGCTGCAATGACTGAATTGCCATGCAGATGTCGAGCAGTTGGAACTGCTGTAACAACTGAATCCCCTTGCAGACTTGGAGCTACATGGACACATCTCCAAAGCTCCTGTGAACATCAAACAAGAAGAAGAAGATGCTAGCTTGTAACTAGCCCACCTGGCCTGGGTTGCAAGCTACTGTGTCTTCTGAAAGATCCTGAGCCTAAAGAGAAATGTTGAACTTTCAAAAGGAGCTGACAACAATACAATAAGCTGATAACAATACCACAATAGGAGGCCAAGACTTGCTGTCTTGCTGAACAAGACATAATGTTATTTCAGTAGACCCTAGTTGCTTGTAAGGCTGTAACTTTAAGTGGTGCTGTAATGAGATTATCAAGCAACCAAACCAATTACTTATTTGCTTAGTTATTAGTCCTGGCCTCAGGCATATCATGCTGCCTTGAGGCTGGAAGTCCTCTTTTTGATGCTAGTAATGTAAATTTGCTGCCATTGCCTCTGCTATCTACACTATAGGGAGTTAGGCACTAGTTAGTGCACTGCAACTCTGCAGCAAAAGATATCCAACTCTCTGAGTGTAAAATATTTTCAGTTGGATGCAAGAACAGGTGGAGAATATGTGATGAAAGCTATACATTACAGTTATTAGCTACCCAATTTTTTTAATTAACTCCATTTCCCTAGAGTTACATGTAAATGTTAGTTATGTTACATAATTAGTACTGGTTACTAACAATAAATGTTAAATTTATTTCTTTTTTAAATAAATGTATCGGTGATTGTATTTTTCACTGAAGAACAGCAAGTTGTGTGCACTCTGTGCAGAAGATGCTCTTAACTCAATTTTGTGACGTGCAAAACATTTATAATACTTAATTTTCTTTCTTGATTGGTATTGTAAAATTTTTCAAATATTACTGAATCAAATTGTTGAAAAAATGTCAGTGAAGAAAGCCTGCAGAGGAGCTCTTATTGTTCTTGAAGGATGTGATCGTGTGGGGAAAACTACACAAGCTAAATTACTTGTTGAAAGCTTGAAAAATAATGGAAAGCCAGCCCAACTCATGAATTTCCCAGGTATGGTTGCTGTGCCATAAACATTAACAAGACTATACAAAATTTTCAGGCACAATAGTCATCAAGTTTTAAATTTGTAGTGATTGATTTGAATTTTATTCCATTTCTAAATGCAGTTGAATCTGTCATGTGACCAACATAGGTTCAACAATTCATTATCAAGGCTGTAACTTGTAACTAATGTTCTATTTTTCTCCAATTGACAAATTTAGATGATGAAAATGAAATTCACATTTTATTTAGTTTCCAAAAAAATGACTTCCTTTTCCCGATGAAATTCATGATAACCATGATTTTACTAAAAATACTTTGTAATAAATGTAGTTTATATTTTACAATTCACGACACTGGATGACAATCTATTTGGTTAATATAAATATATATGTAATATTGGCCATAAGTATTGCAACACAATGCTTGGCCCTGGCCTAGAAGTTCATAACACTATGCCTATACCATTAACTGGCATTGTTTAACTTACTCTTGACTTGTATAGCCACTCATAATTGCTGTCATGCACTGATTGGCAAATGGATATTTAGTCTTTTTGGGCTTGTGAGAAAGTGTAGTATCTCTACATTCATATGTCGTTGATGCACATGTCTTCAGTCATTTGTTGCATGCAGTAAGTTTCAGCATCCAAGTTTGTGAGAGTGGTTTTGGTATTTTTTAAAGAGCACTTGTGTCTTGTATTTTTGTGATTAAAAAAGAAGGAATTCATTTTTTAAATGCTTGAGAGGAAAATAAGTAGGGAAAATCTTGAATTTTAATACTTTGCTACCAAAAAAATGCCATTTAAAGCTGCCAGAAGAGAATCCTGAGATGAAAAATCTATTAAAAATTATAACTTAATCCTTGCTGCTTATATTTCAACGTCAAAAAAACGCTCAAAAACCAAGCTGAACTTTAGTTCATTTGATCACAACTGGAAACATTTTTGGTTACTATGTACTGTTAACATTTCTGTTTGCTTTGGATGCCGTGTACTGGACAAGAATTGTGCATTTCTTGACACATAAAAATTGTGTGGGTTAGACAATACAAATCCTCTCACTGGATTTGAGTTGACCTTTCCTAGGGCCTTTCATTTGCAGTCAGGAACTTTACATAATTATTAAAATTTAGCCTTTGAGCTTCTTAATTTCCTTGGATTGAAATTTTATTTCACTTGTTGATAATGTAGTATGATATATTATTAGTTCTGATTAATTTAGGCCTTGTATAATAATTTGTATATTTTATTTATTATATGTTAAGTGCCATATTATTTTATCAAGTCAGAGTTTAAATTTTGAACCAATCAGTAACAATATATCTCATTGAAATTAATGTAGAATTATTTTGATAGTGAAATTGTACTGACTTTCCTTTTTTATTTAATTCTTAATAGTTCAGAATATATGGTAAATGTAGGACTAGATGCAAAATTGCAGAACTTGGTTTTTCTATAGGCATTCTATAACTCCTCTCTACACTTATTGTAATAATATGATAATTTTTTTATTATTAAATTGCTATGTATATAGTTTCTATTCAGATGGAAATGTATATAGATTATTAAAAGAAATAGCACTATTTGAAATCAATATAACCAACCTTTCACAAGTTAATGGCACTTCTGTTGTACTGGGACTTGCTATCTGCATCCTCAAATTTTAAACATGTCGCTCCAATTTTTAGGTCATGACTAGTCCCTTAAAAAGTTAAGTTGAGATTATTTAATGAAAATTCACAAACCTACATATACCTATACTCTGTACCCACATATACCTATAGTATTTATCTAGATAAAGGGGTTGCAACCTAATTTATGCTAAACAGGATATGATCAATTTTAATTGCAAAAATTAACCTTATAACCTGATTTTGAGAGCAACATTAATGATAAAGTGATGTAGTTTGAGGCATTAATTCCAATGGTAGGCTAAGAATGAGTTATTTATTAAAAAGATTGCAGCTGCCAGTGCCAATTAACAGTGCTTCATGCTTTTAAATATCAGATAAGAAATTAAATAATAAAGAATCTTCATGCAAGATGGTATAAAATTGTTTTATGTAATGTACATTTTTTTGCAGATCGTACCACTGCCATTGGAAAAATGTTGGACCAGTACCTCAAACAGAGTCAAGAATTAGATGACCATGCGGTTCACTTACTTTTCTCAGCAAATAGGTAATGTGTCAATGCACTTGTTTTTCACTGTATTTAGTGTTTATTGTACTCATGATGCTAATGATTGGTAATTATATTTCTTGCTCATGATTTTCATTTGAATTGTGATATAGTTTGATTGATTTTGACTATAAACTTTTTAAAATTAAATATTTTTGCATGAACTATAAATTTTTAACTCTATTAGCATTCAACAGCCAGTTTCATAAAATTTTTCATTTTAATGAATGGTGATTGGGATTTGGGCCATCTTTTACTTTCATTGTTTCTGCCATGATTAATAATGGGGCCATCTTTTGCTTATTTTTAATTTCTGCCATGATTGTGTTCAGGTGGGAGTGCGTGAGTAGCATGGAAAAGCTCCTACAAGAAGGGACAACCCTTGTTGTTGATCGCTATTCTGATTCAGGAATTGCATTTAGTGCTGCAAAGGTTAGAGTTTGTTTAATGATATTAATGATTATTAATATAAGTTTTTTATCTTCTTTAGGTTAATACAAATTTAAATCTATTTTATTCAACTAAAAATTCACCTGCGACAGGGAGGTTGTGATAGCTGAATGTTGATGTCGAGGTATCTGGTTTCCAACTTTTAAAATATTGAGAGATTTTTATTTGAAAATGGTCAATATACAGGCAGAGTAAGATAATTAAAAACTGCTCAGTATTGGTCAAGCTTGTCGCATTATTGCGACGGCATTTGAACAGAAAGATGGATATGAAATAAATTGGAAATCCATTCTTGTCAGGAAATTTTCTTTATGGTATGGGTACAGTGTTAAGGCTTACCTTCCTCTCTTTCCTGACTTATGAGATGGTTTGTCTGATTGATCTTTAATACCTGCTCTGGTTCTTCCCATCTCTCATGGCATCAGTAATAAGTTGCAGGAGCTACAGGCTTCCTCTAACCATTGCATTGAAATCTGTTGTAAACTGCTTCAGTAATTGCATGTGCTTACAGTGCTAATTTTTTTTTAGAAATTATCAATACAGAGGATAAGTGAACTCTCGAGTTAAAACATAAAGCTTGAATGACAACAGTGAACTCGCACCATCTCAGCTTTTCTTCCTTGATAAATGGATTCAGTCATAACGATAATTTACAAGAAAATGTTTTCTTAATTTTTAAAGATTTGTGAGCATCGTCACTAATGTAGATATGTTCGTAATTTTCCCCAGGGTTTGCCTGTGTCGTGGTGTGCAGCCAGTGACAGCGGACTGCCGCGACCAGATCTCGTGCTGTTCCTCACGCTAGGCGGCACGGAGCTCTCCTCCAGAGGAGGCTATGGCCAGGAGCGATACGAGGAGGACAGTTTCCAGCAGCGTGTCATGCGCAATTATAATGAACTCAAGCGCGATTACTGGAACGTGAGTAGTCCTATTGATATAAAAAATTGTAAATTTCAATGTTTATTTATAGATATTTCACCTGCCAGAGATGAACGTTGGGATTAATTGTTTACGAAGATTCTTATCCATTAGCGGTACTTATTATTAGTCCTATTGTCTTAGTGGAAGTACGTGCACCCAATTCAAAAAGTATGGCCTATATTTGAAGAAGGTTTACATTTGTAAGTAATACTAATGAATGATATGTTCAGGTCGTTAATGCTGATGAGAAGAGCGTGGAGCAGCTCCATTCGGAACTCCTTCCCTTGGTAACGTCCGCCGTCGCGGCCGCTGAAGATAAACCGCTACTGACGCTGGACTGGCCCAAAGCTGACAACCCAGAGACATAGTTCTCATCACGTACCGTCTGTTACGTGACCTAACTCTATTTTTATTGCCCATTTTCATAAGACTCATACTTATTGTAAGAATCTAATTTAAGTTCTCCAGAAAATGGTGCGAGTCTTCCCAAAGAATCATTCGACACGCACATCATGACCGCTAGAAAGTTATCATCTTATCATCTTAGTAGTTTACAAAATGTACCAATTAGAGTACAACGTCGTAAGATGTTTTTTTCATAATTTAAATTTTTGTAAAAAAATTTTCTTATACAGTATTAACATGAACACTTAATTTCCAATTATCGGTTCGAGGAATACATTGTCCATAGCACGTCGAATAATATGCTTCTAATTCTTTCTTGAGACATTGCTCATAATTATTTCTAAACTTTTTTTCACACAAGGCAAGGACGATCACAAGTCAGTTCTTATTCGCTATTTTATTAATGCAGTAAACAAAATTCATCGAAAACTATATGGATCTGAGTTTTATTAACTAAAAATTGTGTATGAAGAACTTATGCAACTTTGTACGAACGAAGCTTCATGCTCAACAATCAATTGAACGTTGAACGTGACACAATAACAACTACTATCACATCTATTTGTAAAGCAATTCACAAACTTTCCGTGCGGCACGTCTTGAAAAAAATACTTCCTGTTAGCTCTTACAGGCTTTTCAATCCTCAAGAACCCTCAATGTACATGCGATCATCACGACGCAATCATTTTAGTAGAGAGTTTGCAGAATAAAATTATAATGAGTTCTCACTACAAGGCACACAAAGAGAATTCAAGGTGAGAGTTTGCCAAACCAGAGGAGAGGCATAAAAACTTTTAAAGGCATCAAATGGAACTATTTCAAATAAAATGACTGGAAAGCCTCTGCGCTACGCTGACAAGACATCGTAGACGTCCTGGACGAGCTGCGGCTTCTTCTTGCCCGTCACTTTGATGTTGCGCGCTGAGAGCCACTCCTTCAGAGTGGCTACGTTCAGCTTCTCGACCTGCATGCAGATTACTCAATTATCATCAGTGAAGAACTCAATGAATTAATTCCGTGTTGAAATGTCATCATGAGACTTTTTGTAATAAATGGTCAAATTCTATTGTTAACGATTATTTTATTTTACTGGAGCCAAATGAAATATTAAACAAATCAGATTAACATGCATAAAGATGGATTTGCGTTATGACGTTGAGACTCACAGTATTGTTTCGCGCCATGTCTTCTACTGAAGGAGTGCCGGCAGCAGCGGGAGCTATGCCAGCTGTCGCTCTAGGCTTGGGCGGAGGCCGCTTGGCCGCCGCGGCGGTCGCATCGTATCCGCTCGGCCAAACCAGATCCTTGAAAGCGGACACAAGCTCCTGCGTCTTCTTACGGATACGCGCGTAGTCCGGCACTGGAAAAATTGCAGTTAAAATGATCACATTATTTAGTAGCTATAGATAAGCTGATACATGAAATCGGCAGCAAGCTGTATTTCCTAGGCAGTAGTTGAAATGATTTGGTATAATGCAACTGCACATCGAAGATAAAATCGGCCATCATTATCTTTGACGCACGCTGAAGAACTGGACAGTGGACACGTCATGAAAATTTCGCCTCATTTTGAAAACGGACGACTTGAGCATGATAATAAACTTTTCAGGTCAACCGCACTATAAAATAAATTTTAGGGAATCTTGTCGCCAATTCCAAGACACTTGAAGACTATTAGTAGCTTGGTACTTAGATTTACATTGTCAGCTACCGCCTCTGATACAAAAGTAGCCACAGCAAATGAAGTACAAATGAATACAAAAACAATAACGGTCAAAATTCAAACTCTTGTGTTCTTGTGAGATAAAAACACAGTAAAAATCTTCTAATCCTACTAGGAATATTTTTTTATTAAATTTTCAAGATTAATAAAGTTTCTATCTAATCCTACTAGGAATATCTAGTCTTAATTAAGTTACCACGATTGATAAAGTTTCTATTCACTGCCACCGACTGGCGCGGCTTCAGCTTTGCACGCACCGGTGTAGTCGGTGACGGGCTCCAGGTCGCGCCTGTTGAGGGCGAGTGCCTCGATGTTGCGCCAGTGCGTCTGCAGGTCTGGGTTCTCGAAACTCGAAGGATCGTACCTGCAATATGTAAGCAGCGATGACGCACACACAAGGCTATTCTTCTGCTTACATGATTCCCGTAATATATGGTGATGTCATAATGCCGACGTTATGGAGGAGGTATGTTTGTTTAGTGAAGAGTATCAGGAGTAATGGGCGATTCAACGAACAACATGACGCTCCTTCTGCCATTTTGACAGAAAATAAATACCGCGAGAAATTTAATGAGTTTACAAAGTTTCAGGATAGTCTTAGTTAAAAAAATAATGGATAAGGTATGTAATAGTGAACAATGTTCAAAAAATAATCCTGGACAGGCAGCAGGTCCCGTATCAAAAATATAATGCTTTAAGATAAAATATAATCCTTCAAGCCAAGTTGCAACATTTCTATAGCTTCAAAGCGATGAAGAAGAGCAGCTGCTAGCTCATTCACGAGCGGGCACTTTCATACTCAGGCTCGTTTGAAAAAGAAATATTTGCTATTACAGAACTTCTTGCATCTCATCAATGGCTCTGCCCAACAGTACAAGTTACAGATCTATGAATGCATGGAGGACAATAGCTGCGTCACTTTAAAGAAGTATTTGATTCGTATTTTCCGGGCAATGATGCTGTATAGCCATCAAACGCACAGCATAAATTGTGCAAAATTTGCCATGCTTTTGAATACAATGGAGAATTGACTGCAAATACAGCGACCTGAAGTGCAGCTTCTTGATGAATGACTTAGCGGCATCAACCTGCTCGTTGCTGGCACGAGCTCGCCCCACTGTCATGTCCAGCTGCCGGAAGTCGTCTGCACGATCAAGACGGAGGTGTAAAACTATCAGCAGTACTGGGAACGAATGAAGTTAATGGAAGAACACAAAATATAATTGAGGAACGAATGAAAAATTGTACTAGTTCTATCTTTTCTCAGTCGGTTATGTAACACACTTCTAACGCGGAAATTAGAGCTTGTGACTTCGATACACCTGAAATCGTAAATCTGTACCTCAAGTCACAAGAAGAATAGCTAAGAGAGCGTAAAAATAAATGATGGGGGTGCTCGCAGAACAATAAGGATATTTCATGATTGAGAATATAATGCCAACATTAACTTTTACTGCGACTTCAAATACATATAAATGGCATAGAACATGCCGATTTTGAGGCATTTCATCCGTCTTCCGCTTTAAAAAAGACTCACCAGCAAATGGCAAGTAGCAAACATGGAATCCCGGCGCCCTGAGCTGGCAGCCATCGTCGTCCAGCACCTCCTCCTGCACCAGCAAGAATTGTTCGTTAGTATTATTTCACACCGCTGTACGACATAAAAATTTATGCTCAAACAATTACTAGATCTAAGATCGAAGGATTTTTTACATAGGCTTAACACAATGCAGTGGAATTGCATGTTCTTTCAAATTTTGAAAAAAATTCTAAATTAACTTTAGCGGTCAACTTTGCAGTGAGTTTACAAAAAAAACTGCTGGAATTTCCGATTCAGTCCAGCGTTATTCAGTAATGATTAATTGATCCCAAAAAGCTAACATGGCAACTTCACTGTTGAGCGCAACCAGTTAATAATATCCTAGAAACAGGTGCAAGTTGCACTATGGACTAGCACGGGTGCAAGTGTTATTAGTGACACAAAACCTGCGGCAGGAGCGCAGCCCAAGAAGGGCTGGCGTTGGTGCGGGGCACGACCCTCACGATGGGGACGACGTCGCGTGCAACGCACCGCGTCAGCAGCGCTGCGAACGCCGCTGTGCTTCCTGCACACAGCACCTCGTCAGTGCCAAGCATCAACACCAGCAGGCGGTACATCTCAGGGAACATCAAACAGGGTAGTACTCAATCTCAATCATGTAGTTATTGTCCAGCGCTCTGTGAACAGAACAGCTCAATCGTCCCGGAATTTTAACACAGCTTGGATTTAGCTCAGTATGGCCCACATTGACTGATTTTGTCACCTCTGCACCTTAACACAGCCCTGAATTAGGCTCAATAAGGCCCACCTTGACTGATTTTGTCACCTCAGCACCTTAAGAAAGCCCTGGATTCGGTCAGTAAGGCCCACCTTGAATGATTTTGTCACCTCTTCACCTTAAGAAAGCCCTGGATTCGGCTCAACAAGGCCCACCTTGAATGATTTTGTCACCTCTTCACCTTAAGAAAGCCCTGGATTCGGCTCAACAAGGCCCACCTTGACTGATTTTGTCACCTCAGCACCTTAAGAAAGCCCTGGATTCGGTCAGTAAGGCCCACCTTGAAAAATTTTGTTACTACTGCACCCACCTTTGCACAATAAGGCCCACCTTTGATATTCTTGTCGTCAGGGTACAGGAAGCTGGCAGGTTTCACGTAGTGGAATGCTTTGATGGCAGAAGACGGCTTGAAGCCCAGCAATTCGATGCCGGTTGGGTATACTTTGTTCAGTTCTCGGCTCTCTTCCTGGAAAAATGGAAACATAAATACAGCATGATAACACAGCATAGTTAATTCATAACTTTTCCTGAAATTTCATTATCAGGTAATCTAGGCGTCCGATTTCGCAGAATCCTTTCACCCGATTTGTCATTGAGTGACTACAGAACGGACAAACAAATACATACGTACACAAGAGAGGGATTTAAATGTATAGTTCTTATAATAACTGATGCATCTACTACTATAACGTACAAATTAACATATACAAATTTCATGAACATGTTCAAATGTTCAAATAACAAACATATACAAACTTCAAATTAAATTATTTCAAAAAATCAATAAACCTTAAGATGTAAACTTTTTAAATTTCCACTTTCCTAATGTGAAACGACAAATGATTAAAAGGGGTAAAACATTACGGCCCACAACGTACGACAGTGAACTTGATTTTGCGTTTTCCGTATTCTTGGTACTTGCAGAAGTCAGACGTCATAAGCAACTCGCCGGTATCCTGAAACGCAAATGTAAAATTATACAAACGTTATCTTAATATTCTAAGACAACCAAGCAAAGGCACAGTAAAATTAGCTCTTTTTGCTAGTATTTCCAGCAACCAAATTTCAGACTAATACCAGTTACATTAGTTTATAATTCAAATGAACTCACTCGATTTCATATTCCATCATCGAGTACTGATTTGAACTCAATTCTTCGAGATGACGCTTAGATATTTAGGATGTTCAGTCAGCCACACTCACACTCAAGATCATCGCTTGAGAAATAAAGTACAAACCTCGCGGTACTCTTTGGTGATGGTCTTGATGAGGTCATTGCCTGAGCGGTGCAGCTTCACGGAGGCAGGCTTGCGGGCAGTGCTGGGCATTGGACAAAAATGAAGGTAACGGGAACAAGACTCATAGGTGCATTGTTAAAAAAATTCCCGTAAACGGTATAACCGGCGTTTCAGTGGCCGGTCGGCACGTGAAAAGAAACACTGTGTCGCCGTTTTTATTATAATTTAACACTAGAAATCTATAAAACATCTGATAAAAACGGCGAAACAGTTTATTTTCACGGGGCGACCGGCCACTAGAACGCCAGTGGGACCGTTTTTTCTAACAGTGTAGAGCAACTATGAAGCAAAGCTCAAGTCATAAAATCACCACAAGAGCAGCAAGATCTCAAATGACGAGCGCTTCAGAGCATACGAGAAAGTAACAGAATGAGAATCTCAGAGACAAAAAACTAAAAATAGAAAAGTGAATAACAGCAGAAGTGAAGACAATCGTACAACATGTCACTTAGACCAGACGCCATTTTCGTCTTCATGAGAAAAGAAAGGTAGCAGAGTGGGTTCTTCCTACAGAACAACTTAACCCTACACCTGACACCCGCAGTCAGATACACCGAGTTCGTGGTGATGTGCCAATAAATGATGGCTTAAAGAACTCAATGACTGTGATTTCTGACAGGACACACGCGTCAGAACCCCTCTCCTTTGTAGCGCAGGGTATTTGAAACAGGCTCAGAAAACCAAGATGTATCTAATTTTATGTATTTAATAAAAAATTACAGAAAAACGAATCCAAATGCATTGTCCTGTACCTGATACTTGTGTAGAAGCCAACAGATATTTCCAAGCCCGTAGCCAAAGTGAATGGTACGCGGCCTGTAGAAAACATTAAATGGGGCTTAATAGCAGGAAAATTTCAGTAGCCTGGGTGATCATAAAATTAACATCCTTATCTCACGAGCCAGCAAGGCAATTTATTAAATTGTATGAAAAGGAAGCTTGTCATGATGATAATAACTAACGAGGCTTCAAGGCCTCATTTCTAAATCCAATTACATCTTTACCTTGTTGAGCAATTCTAACGTAATAGTTTGAAAAACTGTGCACCTTTATGTACATAAAACTTGCTATTTTGTTCAATCTTTTGGCGATGTCACAAAATTTGGTCAATTCAATAATGAATAGGAAGAAATAGGCTTCATACAGACCAGTAGCTCGCTGCTTGTGCTCCAGCCTGCGCACCCGCTCTTGCAGCTGCTCCAGCCTTGCGCTGCTGGCACCAGCAATGCTGCGGTCTGGTGCTTGGCCATCCAGAGTAATCAGAGCCTGCAATGCATTTTTAATGTAACCAAATTCTGATAGATTCATCTTAAAATACAGGGTGTAAAATAACTAAATTTATCTGAAAAATAGTAGAAAAAAAGTCTACAAAACAACAAAGCTCAGGAGATCAAGTGAGCATAAACTCAAACAGCAAAAAATTTATATTGGCATTATTCAGAATTGTAAAAAAAATTGATAGTAGGTACTGCAACCATGAAGATTGAAGAAATAGAAAAGGACTATTCAAAGAGATCAGGTTGGTTGAATAACATTAAAAGTTTAACAAAACATTTTACAAACATCCTTTTAGCCATACAAACAAATGTTGCAGTGAAGCACTTTATTAAAAGCTAATCATTCTACTATCAACTATCAAGATTGACAAAAAATGTAATTTAATTCTGTCAAGTTAAAATTCTTGCACACCTTATAAAATTTGCTGGCATCAAAATTGGCACCTAAGCCAAGGAGTTCTAAGTCAATGCCAGCATCGTCCAGGTCACGGGCTTTGCATTTGGCTTTCTTGGCAAGGTCGACCGCATTGCTGGAGTGAGGCTCATCGCGACATGTGAACAGCAGCACATTCTGACCTGACAGTGAGCTCTTGCTGCAACACAGAAAAATACTTCAAAATTGCATGTGACCTCCGAATAAAAAAGTATTTGAAAATAAGACGGTAATATCAAATAATTTTATGTGACCTCTGAATAAAAAAGCATATAAATACAATATGGTAATACAAAATAATTGTATGTGACCTCCAAATAAAATAGCATATAAATACAATATGGTAATACAAAATAATTGTATGTGACCTCCAAATAAAATAGCATATACATACAAAAGGGTAATATAAAACAATTGTAAGTGACCTCCGAATAAAAAAGTATTTGAAAATAAGATGGTAATATCAAATAATTATATGTGACCTCTGAATAAAAAAGCATATAAATACAAGGTGGTAATATCAAATACAAAACTAGAATATCCTATAATGAAAACCATTTCGCCAGCACTGAAATCAAGAGGGACTAGGTACTTAGCACTCACTTAAACTTTCTTTCCAGGAGTAGATTTATAAATTAATACAGTCATGTGCCTACCATTGTGTTATGAGGTTGCTGGAGGCCCATAATGCATCCCCAAGGCTGGCATCCTCACAAATGCCACCAAACTCTCGTGTAACTTTTGAACGTCCGTCTAAAAATAAACATTGATCAATGTTCAATGACGCTTGAAATGAAGTTCCATATGTTATTCACAAACTTATGCTCTGACATTTGATTGAGTACAAACGTACAGCACGAGACAGAATATTAATGATATTAGTTATGAGATATTGTCAGCAGAAAGTAACCTTGTAAGTAGGATTCAAGGGTCAGAACTCGGTCTGCACTTGGCCGATCAAGTGGAAGAGGTATGGCAACGTGTGGGAATGTGGCCAGAAGGGCGGTGCTGCTGGTGCTGGGTTGCTGTGAAGCACTTGTACAGTTCAGCGTATTGAAGAAAACAACAGCTGTCAGGTCTTGATCGCTGGACACCACTTGACGGCACACACTTGCATGTACACACTGAAAAACAAGCTTTATTCAGGCAATTGATGGTAATTTATACTCACATCAAACTATCAAATTTGATAGTTTGATGAGTAAACTCAAATCAAACAAGTACACATAAAAGTAAACACCAAAAATTTATGACTACCTTCTGTTTATTGATTAAGGTTATTATATCTTATAGAAATGGCCACCTGCATTTCAATCAACGAATAATGTCTGAACTACGGTATACTATTACCAATGATAAATACCCTCAAACTTTTATAATGTATTTTTCAAATAAACAAATATAGAAATAGAACAACTTATCACATTTAGCCCGAAATTAACCTCTCCTGTACAACATATATCATATTTTATAATAGAAGCAATAATTAAGAAGTGAAGAAATAATTAACCTTCATGGCCACAATAAATGGGATATCTGATTCCTCTTCAGCAGCATCTTTTTCAAACATGGCTGGAGCAACATCAATGAGAAATACTGTGGCATTACGTCCTTCCCATTGCCATTGCTCTTCAGCATCTTCTTCACCATTTTCACCATCAAGACCAAAGTTAAAATCTATGTTTTCCATTTGACTGATTTATCTGAAGAGAAATAAAATTTAGCATATATGAAATGGTATCAGGAAGCTGTAAATATTATCAGTACTAAAAAGCATAGATACAGACATCAAGAGAAAGATTTGCACTATCTTTTATTTATACTGATAAATTAGCAGCATGACTCCGTACTGTTCATGATAGATAATCCCCAACATTTAGAATTCCTTGTATCCTTGATCCTATTAAACCCACTTTTAGCAATATGAACTGTTGTTAACAGTTTATTGTTGGAACTCTGCAAAATATTTTTAAATTCATACAACTATATCAAGCTAGAATTATTGCACAAACATTTTTTATAATTTTAATTCCAGCACATGAGTGAGATTTATGCTTTTAGCAAGAATTACAGTGAGAGAGAATTAGTGAGAATTACATAATTGCCGTGGTAGTGGTCTTAGTTCTCATATACCATACATTACCATTTGAAAAAATCAGTATTCAAATAATTCCAATTACAAAATTAAAAATCCAATAACAAATTTGGAAGTTTAACACCTATTTGATCAACATTTTTTTTTCAGGTCAAGGCATGCCTTTCAGTATGTACAAGCCAATCTGCAAATGAGAAAGTTGAACAAATAAATATTTCCTAGTATGTTTTTCATTTTTTGTTGGCCTAACTAGTTGCAACCTGTAGACATGGCCAGACCACAACAGAAAACCACTTGCCTCAGTGTATATAAAAATAAGATATATCATGTCAACATAAGATAATAGCTGCCATAGACAAGATGAAGAGATGTAAACGTGTAAGCCAGTCATGTTGAAATTGATAATCTCACATTTTCTTGAATATGGAAGTCTTATAAAGACTTCTCTTGTTGCAATAAGTAGGACAACCGTAAGAAAGAAAGTAAAAGCTACAGATAATGGATGAAAAAGTGAAGCTTCTTCTTACATCGTATTTTGATTGTATATAAGTATTAAAATCACTTGTTTGCTTGAATCACAATTTAACCAGGAATTTAAAAGCAAAGAAAATACCACAAAAATTCACCATATCTTTATAAAAGAAAATGATTTGGAGTCCAGTTCCATTGTCAGTTCATAACACAAAATTCTGTTCAAAAAAAAGGCCAGTCCTAGAAACACAAATAAATCAATTAGTAAAGTAAAATGCACTGTCAGGTTTCAAAACAGAAAATAAATAAATAAGACATGAAATTAACACTAGTAAATGGCCTATCTATTCACTATTTCAAGAGGAAAGGAGCCAAAAGCAGCATTCAGACTAGGCTTCTGTTTGAATATATACACGGATTCTAAAATTTGGAGATCACTAACACCAGATGCGGAAGCTAGAATTTTGAAATCACTATCAGATACAGAAGTGTTGCACTGCTCAGCATGAACACGTACAGCAGAATGAAGTGGATGTGCAAGTAGGTTCCCCGTTCTATAACTCCTGCCCTTATGCTCAGCCAGCCTAATGTAGAAATTGCGTGCCGTCATACCAGCGTACGCTGATGCGCACTGCGCACAACTCTATCTGTAAACTAGTGACGATCGCATAAGAACAGGTAGGGTATCCTTATACCTGTAAAACGAGCCTATTTTAAAATTGTTAATTGTTGTCCAGCTCTGTCCATGATGTTTGCTGGTCTACTTATAGGACTTAAAACTGAACTTGAAATCAAGTCTAAAAACTCTCTGCTTTGCCACTATGATGATGTTTCTTAAAAACCCAGGAATGCCTGAGGTTCCTTAAGCAATAGCACACTAGGCAGCCTAGTCCATTGTTTAATTAGGGGAGCATCTGGGTCAAATTTTATTTCGCTTATTTACAGACGGATCACTTTGAATCTTGGTTCACATATGTAAAATGGGAAAATATATGTCTTTTATTCATGTCAATTTTTTTAACAAAATGAAAGCAAATGTGAAATTCTTAGAAAACAGCCAAAACGGAGGTACAATAGAAAACTATCTCCTCCTACGATTTTGAAGCTACAACATTGAGGTGCATATCATTTGATGCGTAAAGACCATATCTATTGATTGGTCAATATTTTTTTTTAAATTCTAATTTTTGTGGGTGGGGGGCATTTTTTGCAAATTTCTTGATTTTCACCCCCTGCCCCCCTCCTTTTTAGCAAATTTTCTCATTTATGGAAAAAAAGGCGCTGTTGAGCTCATCATGACTTCACGTTTTTGTTGACAAGAAAATGTGCGCTCTGTCACTCACTGCAGTGAGTATTGAGTTATATTTTTTCCAGGGTTGGCAATGATTAAATCAAAATGATTAAATCATGTGATTAAATCACTTGATTTTTTTATAAAAAAATCATGATTTTTTTTTATTTTTTCGATTTTTTCATATATGTAAATATATTGAGTAGCAGTCTTTAATTTATATTGAGGTATTGTTATTCATGGTTTAGCATAAATGTACTATGAATGACAAATTGGTATATAAACTTGTTGCCTTTAGTGTGTATTAGGTTCAAATAAATTGAATGTTTTTGGNATCTTGACCAGTTGAAGGCTAACGAGTAACTAGAGCACCGGCATGGCGCACTCACCGGCGAACGTTGCCGAACTCGACCATTCGAGTTACGAACGAGACAAGGCGCGTTTAAACCGACTCTGTAGTCGGCACGAGTGCCTACGGAACGGGACCTTATTTAAAGAATCATTGGCTGAAATTCATAAAGTAACAACATTTGGCGAATTTTTCCAAAAGTCGTTACAAAAGTAACAACATAAGATCTAATAAGCAAAAAGTAACACTTTTGTTACGAACGTAACACCTCTGGCTAGAGGCGGGAAAATGATGCGTTGTGAAAAAAAAGTCGCGCTAATCAAAACTGTCACCGCGTAGATTAAGGGTAGGTCGCAAATTTTTTTCCGCGTTAATCAAAACCGCGGTATTCAAAACCGTGCTAATCAAGGGATTGCTGTAGAGGGTAGAGTCTGGTAGATTTATAGGACATAAAACTAGAAGATCTATTGATAGTGCTGTGCACTGTGTTATCAGCTACCTATCTGTTATGTGACTCTTCAATGTTTAGAAGATCTGCATTCCTGAAGGGTTTTTGTATATTGAAGCCAGTTAATTGGTCAATATTTAACTCATTACCTTGCTCCATACAAACTTTACAAAGCTAATGAATAGACTTACCAATAATGGTTTACCCAAAAATCCCTAAGTGGTAAACACCACCATGGCCTGTTGGCCATTATTGAAGGCAATAAGTGCCCTTTTTAGCCATCCATTATGATCCATATACTGTTATTGTTAGTGGGCTAACTGCAACATAAAAAAATAACACTCCAAATAGACAAAAAAGTTGAAAAAATCAAAAAATCAAATAAATAAAAAAATCATGAAAAAATCAAATAAATCATTGATTTTTGATTTTTTTTTGATTTTTTTTAAATCAAAAAAATCGCTAACCCTGATTTTTTCTAAATAGAATCAAAACTATAACAAAATTAAAAAAAATGAATGACCAATCTCCAGATCTTTTATTTGCAAATTGAATGATATATCTCTCATTGCTGTAGCTTAAAATCTCTAGGAGATAGGTTTGCAGTGACGGGTGTGAATGTTCTGTAGAGCGCAACAAAGTCCCGAGCACCTTGAAATAGGCATTCAAGGTGGCAAGGATGCAAAACTAGACATTACTGGAGCTCAAATTCTGTCAAGGATCGTGGGAACGACTGCATGAGAACCATCCTGCACAACAGCAACCAGGTAACTGAAGAGCTGCATCTTCAGACCATCTATAAGTGCAAATTTTTGCCTATGTTAAATGTGAAAGAACTCTTCCACCCCTAACCATTTTGCAATCATTTGTGAATGCATAAATCAACGTACAGAGATGGTTTTGGTACCATTGAATAGGTCAGAATGTCAGCTTTAAGATGAGCATAAAAACAGGAAAAGTCTACGTTTTTTATTTTATTTCCAGACGCTCCTCTTAAGCAAGCTTCTGGTAAAGTCCATTGTATTTGTGGCAGCCAGAGTGCAGGCAGAAACTATCTAGCATTAAAGTTTGTTACAATCTGATTCAAAAGTTGAGGGGCAGTTACTGTAGAATGGAAAGGTGAAAAATCAAAACAATATTGCTAGCCTGTAGGAGAGATGTGTCCCAACTCAGTATTTTATGAGACTCAGTATTTATCGCAAGAACAAATACACCTGACAAAATATGTCTTATTACTTCCAAATTGCTCAATCTTCTACTTCTAATGGTTTTTAATGGAGCTTTAAAGACAAGTCCATGCAACCCCACTACCCCAGGACAGGAAAGAATCATTTGGTTGATCTCCCAGGCTCCTAGCCAGTTTCTTTTCATAATGGGGTTGAAGACTAGTGGTGCCAGGAGCACCTCACCAGCCCAAAGCTTGACTGGTGTTAAAGCAAGCAAAATTAACAATATTGGCTTTTCCAGTTTTTAGCCTCATCTTAAAGCTGATATTCTGAGCTATCCAACGTTACAAAAACCATCTCTGTACATTTATTTATGCATTCATGATCAATTCCAAAAGGGAGGGGGGTGGGGGAGTTGACATTTTAGATATGTGAAAACTGAAATTAGATGCTGAGCACTTAAATAGAGTGTCTGCTTGAGCTGCAGTTCAGCTACCCGCCTGGCGTCGTATGGTGTTGTGCATGCAGTCATTCCCACCATCCTTGACTGGAATCAAGCTCCAGGAACGTTTAGTTTCGTATCCTTACTACCTTGAGTGCCTATTCCGATGCGCGCGAGACATTGTCAGGCTCTACTGAACATTCACACTTATTGTCATGATTAGACATATACCATTTGATTCGCAATTAAAATATCTAGAGCTTGGTCTTTGTGTTTTTCAATTTTGTTATAGATTTGAAAATATTTTGAAAAAGGGGGGGAAGGGGGGGGGAGGGGAAAATCAAAAAAATTTCAAAAAATGCTCCCCCAACCACAAAAACTCAAAATTGAAAAAAGTGAAGACAAATTGATAGATATGGATATGGTCTGTACGCATCGAATGATATGCGCCTTGATGTTGTAGCTTCAAAATCCTAGGAG